AGTGACAAAGATCGAACTATTTCCAGTCACCAAGCATGTTCTCCTTCATGAAGGAAGCTACAACTACATGGGCTGGAAAATGTATAGAGAACCTCAAATGGTATTAGGGCAGGATCCAAATTTGCAAGGGTCCCTGAGTTTGAATACGTCCCAATCATCGAATACTTTTCAGTGATTACTGCCCGGTGACATTTCCCCTCCGTCTGTGGATACAATGAGAGGAATGGAAAAAGGGCAAAAGTTGAATTTATAATGAATGAAAAAGCCGGCTAGAACATTTTTCTTTTCTATTTCTATGGCTCTGCGCTCCCTTTCAGTACTGCAGACATACATCCAATTCTCAAAACAAATAGCGTCAACGACTAAACTAAATAACTAACAATCAGTGTTTCCCACAGAATTCGATTCTATTTGTGGGGGCACCCCCCCGGCGGGCACCCCCCCTCCCACGTTGTAAATGAGTGAGCCACACCGGAGTTGAGGATCTGTGGGGTTTATTCTCCCAAAAATATAATTAGCAGATGCCTTATTCCAAAGTGATTTACATTAGATTACATACATTTAATTACATTCTCCCTGGAGTAACTGAGGGCTAAGTGCCGAGTTCAAATCCCGCCTGGAACACCACGACTAGGATGTCTAACAAACAAACAAAATACAATTTGGCTCGGCTACACAACGCTTCAGATGTTCAGACAATGTGCAAAGTTTGCAGCCTACTTGTTGCAAAGTTTGCACCCTTAGTCTTGACATCCAATTTTACGGGGCTTCCTGAACAAATATTCTAATGCCCCATCTTATGGGAAGGCCTCAGGACAGGGTCCATTTATGGAGATCTTCAAGCAAGCAGCCAGGTGTTCTCCTTGGAGCTGGTTTCAGAGGTCTGTTTTCACCTGAGGATGAAGCAAAATGGAATACCACAAACTGAACTAATAACGAAAATGTATAATCATTTGTTGTGCTTTTCAAAGTGATGCTTTTTCTGTTCATCGCCGAGAAATCGCGTTCACAGTTGACACTAGAAACGGGTATAACTAGTCCTATGCCCACAAGGAGGCTCAGGCAGGGGTAGAGCTCAACCCATTCATCAAATTGACCATGCTGTGTGTGGTATAGCCATGGCTTAGGCCAGGGGTAGGCAAGTAAGTTTGGCCGTGGGCCAATTTTTTGCTGAGCCGCAAGATGGCGGGCCAGAACATAATCAAAGCCTAATTCAAGGAATTGATTTTGGTAAGAGGGCGCCCCTGTTCCCCGGTTCAGAAAAAACTCTATCGCTGATAACCCTCCCCATCAACACTCTGATGCGCAGTCAGATCCGCTGATTGGTTCACTGATGATATAGGCGCCCAATCCAGAGCCTCTGGCTAGACCCGCCCAGGCTCGTCCTCTCTAGCCCCATTTCAGTCCCAAAGCCAGGGCTATTATCTGTATTTTAACAGACTTATCTTTTAAATTGAGGTGTATTTATTGTTCTCTTCAAAGTTTATTTTTCTCTGAAATTGTAGGGAGAATGGTCCTTCCTTTCCTCAATGGACGAGCCTCCACTGAGTAAAGTAGAGTTATTAACTAGGTAGCAGTGTTATTTAACATACTTTTATTCTGATAAGTATTGTCAAGTTCTCTGGGTTGTTGGCATTTATTTGAGTGTTTGCCCATTTGAGAGGCTTGAGGGACAACTGGAATCCTTTTCCCTTTTCTTTATTTCAACTTTTCAAGGACACATTAGGATTCTTTCAGGTTGAAAACCTTTAAAAAATACCAAAGGACAAAATAAATCAATTACAGCAGTTTTGCTTTGCAATTTAATATATTATAACCTAAATTAATCAGTAACCAAGTATTTTACTCAAACTCAATGTATTTAATAGTTAAATAAGTACTTTAATTGACCTGGTTCCCCCCCAACCACACATTTGCCATATGTGACCCGCTCTATCGAAATCAGTCGAAAGTCGCAACGGCTCATTTAAAAATAAACGTGGATTTGCGTAAAAAAATAGTTTTTCGGGGTTCGGGTGTTTTGTTTTTAAATAAACAAAGTCTTGGCATTCAGAATATGACATTTTTATTTCCAAATTCACACGATAAATACATGTTTGAAGCTTGTAAAGGGAAGATGACAGCTCTCCCTCCACTCTGCTCTTCCACAGCGCCGCTTCCCCTCCCTCCGCTGACATTATGAATGTAAGCGGATATGTCGGGACAGAATTTAATAAGAAAATGACCGGTAAGAAACTTACCGGTCATGTTTCAATAAGAATAATAAGAATTGTGTAGCAGAGTTTCCGTTAGCAGGTAATCACCGGACTAGGACCGGATATGCTGATGTTTAAAACTCAGTTAATGGGGCTCATTTTTATATTGCTTCAGTTTATAATCGTTACAGATCAAAAAGTTCAGATTCATTTTTCAATAAATGATTCCACAAACAACAAACAACATAATTATTACATTCAAACAAACTACTTGTAGTAGATGAAGTACATTATTCAAAAGTTTACATTAACTTTGAATAATAACACGGGAGAAACGGATGCTCTCTTTTCCTCTCTCCCTCTCTCTCTCTCTCTCTCTCTCCCTCCCTCTCTCTCCTGACAGCCCATCAGTTTCTCATGCAGCTCGCTAAACAGAGGCGGGGCTTCAGGTGATCATGCAGAGCTGCATGTCTCCATCAGACTCAGCAGCTGATCTGATCTCTCTCTGGGGTCCGGTTACACTTCACTCGCGTTTATGTCCATATCGATCAGATCCAGCTCTCCTGATCGGCCTTTATAGAGAGCACAGATCAAACTATTAAGAGTGAATATCGGCCGATAATGACCGGCGGCCGATAATGACCGGCGGCCGATCGATCGGCGGCTAACGGAAACCCTGATGTGTCGGTCCTATGTTGTAAACAAATAAAAAAATAAAAAAAATATTTTATTTTTGATTCTCAAAATTACGGGCCAAATATTATTGCTGGCGGGCTACCTGTTGCCGACCCATGGCTTAGGCCCTGGCCACACGAGGATGATAGCGGTAAAACGCAAACGCAATCGCAAACAAGCTTCCGTCCACACGCAATAGACACCGGAAAGTTTCTGTCCACACGAGACCGCTCCGTTTAGCTCCAACCGCTGGAGAAGCTGCAGTACATATGCTGAGCCTGTACGTGGCGCTGTAACTTCCTCCACAAAAGCAGCGAAGAAGCATGGTTGTCATGGTTGCCCTTCTGTTTATTCTCCGCGGTGGGGGCCGAGGGAACCGGGCAGAGTTTTTCGCCAGTCAACGTGTATTAAAGTTTAAATCTTCCGGACAAAATTATAAAAATGCTGGTCAAAGGTCTTCTTTGTTATTTATTGAGCTTTAAAACAAATGAATAATGACTCTATATAATATAATAATAAAATACATGGAGCCTCTCTTTTTCCTCCCTCTCTTCGGACAGCGCCAGTGTCTGTCTCATGCAGCAGCTGATCCAGTAATGAGTGACCCGGCCGACAGTAAAAATAAACATATTTATAACTAGTTTAGGTAGTTTGAGAGGTAATTAAAATAGCTAAGGGTGATGATCTGACTTGAAGTGTGTTTTGCTCCGTTCACCGCTGCATCAGAGCGGGAGGAGCTGCAGGTGAGCAGAGCTGCGTGTCTCCGTCCTGTCAGATTAGACTTCACTTGCGTTTATGTCCATATCGAGAGAAAGATAAATAATCTGAATTCAGTGTGCAGTTTACCTTGACGCGGGGGTGAGCAGCAGGTGGGGAGAGGCGGGGCTATTGCCTCATCATCATCAGAAAATGATCGTATAGGGCGTACACACGGAGCCGTTGGACCCCCCAGAGCGTTGCGTATGCTGTTCTATCCACCTTGGGACCCGTTATCGTAGTCGTTTAGTGCCATATTCTGTCGTCCGAGTGTGGCCGAATGGTCTATATGACACAAAACGGTAACGGAAACGTGATGCCTCAGAAATCTGGTTTTCTGACCACCTGACCTGCTTCTATATCTCTGTGTTTTAGAATTCTATCAATCTCACCTGCTGCTTCTGAGCTAGCTGGCTCTGCCACGGCTCCCTGACCCTCTCTTGCTGCTACACTAGCACTGGTTGAAGCCTGGACATATTTCAAACAAATTAATTGGATAGCTAATCACACTGGTCGGACTGTTCAGCTTTGCCGCGTGTGTCCCACCAACGTGTGTTTCTATAGGTACTTAATGCTAATACCTCTGTTCCAGGCTGTGTTTGCTCCTCTTCAAGATGAGCCCGTTTCTGCCTCTGAAAATATGTTTCTATATTCATCTGGTTTGAGGGAGCAAACATCATTCAGCGTCAGAGTTAAAGAATTAAATGCAGTCGGTAGTTGACTAACGTTAGGAGCGCTATAATGTTACACAGCGTGCTAACCTCGACAACCCAGCTAGCAACTAGCTAGCTAGGCTCCTTTCATGCTTGTTAGCTAATAACTTATTTGAAAAGCTGGGTCTCCGCGATTTACAGCGTGATACGAACAGAGAGACTAACTTATCAGAGTTAACTTGAATACATCCATTTTGGACAAATGTATGCATATACCATATACCATACGCCGCTGTGTGGACGGGCGGTGATTCTCCGGCACGCGGCATCTGGTTTCAAACTTCAGAAATGTCTTGCAGAGATGAGGGGGCGGGGCTAAGGGGCCGTTGAGAGCAAAGAGCACGCAAAGAGGGGCTGAGCGGGTAACTGCGCTCCACAATGAAATGTATATTTTATTCAAATATTATTTATTTTTTTATACTTTTTTTTACATTTTTTTTTACGAGATCTATTTGTGGTGGACGATATTTAATTGTGGCGGTCCGCCACAAATAAATCAATATATGGGAAACACTGAACAATACCATAACTGTTTTGACAATAGTCAATACATGACCAATACATTCTGAGTTGGGGACACACCTAAAATAATCTTGGTTTGATTCCCCCTGCAGGGTTCATCCCAATAATGGAGATCCTGGACAACAAGTTCGAGGAGGGATCAGCCAGCACAGAAGCCTTTGCAAACGCCAGCCTACATGGCGTCGCAAACATCACCAACATCACGAACATCCCCAACATCCCCAACATCCCCAACATCCCCAACAACACCTATTTCCCGTACTATCAACACTCTCTCTATGTGGCCGCGAGCTACATCCTGGCCTACTTCTTCATCTTCCTGCTGTGCATGGTGGGAAACCTCTTGGTGTGTTTGATCGTGTTTGAAAACCGTTGTATGCGCACGGTCACCAATCTCTTCATCCTCAATCTGGCAATCAGTGACCTGTTGGTGGGCATCTTCTGCATCCCTACAACCCTGGTGGACAACCTCATCACAGGTAATACCGACTTAAAGGTCTCCTATTATGCTAACAGATCATGCATTTTAGACATCCCTCATATCCCTCTATTTCAGCCTTGTTAGAGAAATGCTGATTCTGGGTCCTTAGCTTGAAGAAAACAAAAATAGGAATAGGAGGTGGAGGTGGAGCAAATGCCTGCTCAGAATTACCCGGCAGATACAGCTAAATGCTCCCGTGATTAAATGCCATCATGTTGGAAACCACTTCAAGGATTATTTCTGAAACAGTATGGAGCTCAAATGCTTTTTCTTTTGCGGGTTTACCAGGTGAATTCCTTTTTTTTACACATGCGCTCTCTCCTGTACAGGTTAGCTCTGAGTGTTAGTGATGCTTGCTAATGTAAACAAAGACCATATTACGTCCAAAACACGTCGGGCATTGATTCTGATAGCAACTTTCTGATAGTGCCGTGGGTCCACATTGCCAATATTACGTCATATCGGACGCAAATCTGGATCAGCTCCGTTGTAGCCCCGTTTTTAGAGATTTGGGTACGGAGGAAAAGAGAGAGGGTTTTATTTTCTGACGCTGCGTGAGTTCCCCGACGCACCAGGGACACATCTTTATGTATAAAAGACATCAAAAAGTGCATTTTGCATGATAGGTCCCCTTTAAGTTTATTTCAAGACGGACACTCTACCAGAATAGGTCCAATATACAATATCATGTATATACAGGATATATTGTTCTATGGAAGATGAGTAAATTACTCCAGTACAATTTTGAGCACAAATATAATCATATCATTTATTTCTTAGGATGCCGGAGGAAGGAAGGGAACAGGAACAAGGGCCTCCAGAGAGTGAAATTAGCAATAACAAGTTTATATGTTTTGTTTTAGTCAGCCTCCATCTAGACAAAACTGTCAAACTAGCGTAGGATACGTGTAAACTAGTTTATTAAAAAGTGTCTTCTTTAAAATACGAGCGAACAAGAGCCAACTTCATATTCTAGAATCTACCAGTGCGGAGCTCGCTTTAAGCGTGCCGAGCCGTGCGGGGCCCATTTTTGGTTGCGTTTCCACTTGGCCTAGTACCGGCTAGCGGGTCCTAATTCACAGTTTTTCTGGCCCCATAAAATCGTGGTTCTAGGGCCAGGAACAACCAGGCTGAGTCGGGCTGAGTATGCTAAACTAGAGAGACAATCGCTGGCAAGGGGGCTACAACTACAACAAGATGAACATATTTGACCGTGATTTAATTGTAATACACGTTTCAAAATGATGCCGAAGTAACAACATACTGATACCGGTTAGTAAAAACCATGAATTAATGCTTTGACAAGTCTGCAGACGAAGCACCTTTTAAAATGCGTGTTTTCTAAATGGAGATTGGCTAAACTAACGCAGTATATGCTCCGACCGTCCACACTCACAACAACGGCCTATACAGACATAAATAAACCAGCGACTGTATTCGCCATGACACAGACAGTCTGTGGTTTGTACTTGTTTAACTGTTGTCTAGTTTCTGAACAGATATGAGGAGCTGTGAGCTCTGAGTGCTAACAGCTAACGGCTGTGTTGTTTTTCTGGGGTTCTCATTGAAGATGACGTCACGGCTCTGCCTACACTGAGTTATATAGAATAGATACTACCCCAGTTCCTAAACTGTAATGGAAATGCGCCATAAAGTGAGCCAGTCCTAACGAGGCCTAGCCATACCGAGCGAGGCCGTGTAGTGGAAATGCGCTAAGTGATAAGGAAAGGACTTCAACATCAAAAGGATCGCAATGGAGAGCACACCACTAAAGTCCTCTTGTCACAAAACACTGAAAGTCTCCTTCTCTCTCCTTCCTCAGCTCTCCTACCTTATTAAAAGTACATTGACCCTTACGGCCCATCCACACTACAGCTTCAAAAAAGCTTGGAGCTGGGCGTGTCTGAAGCTTGACCAACAACCAATCACATGAATCTCCCGCCCCTGACACACAAGCAGCGATTTGATTGGCTAGAGCTTGTACTGGCATATGATTTGATTGGCTGACGCTTCCACCGAAAGCTTCAGAAGCTTCAAAAGTTGAACATTGCTCAACTTCTGCAGCCTGAAACGCCAGGAAAGCTCCGCTCTGCTTCCCACAATGCAGTTTGGCGAAAAGTGACGTCACCCCATTCAAAGTGAATGGGCAGACGCGTTGAAAACCGTTTTTGAAGCTGTCGAAGCTGTAGTGTGGACGGGCCATTAGACAGAGTGGGCTTCAGACTCAGCTGCTCTCCCACTCAGGATGTAAGGTGGGGTAGGTAATTTTGGAGAAACCAGCTTGAGTGCGCTAGAATTTGAAAATACACAACTGGAAAAAATCTGCCACTTCCTCACAGAGACCCTCCTCCAACACACACGAACGCGCACATGACCAATGAGGGCACGAGATAAGTTTGTGCACAGATGGAAGGCTGACAGGCAGGTAGGCCATCCAGTCACTTTAGCCAGGCCGGCTCAGATGATTGGTCGTGCTTTTTACAGCGCCACGGCTTCCAGAGATGACGTTTTTTTATGGATTTTTTGTCAAAGCACTTCAGATATTCATTGCTATCGGGATGTTAAGAGCATTCCATGGAATATAACAAAAAGTGTATCTCGAGCCGGTTTCTCAAACGTACCTACCCCACCTTTAAGTGTCCTTCGTGAAAATAGAAACAGGTTGCACGATCAAAAGTCAAAGTTAACTTTATTGTCAATCTTTCAGTTTTTGTGTACAGACAGAGAGATTGAAATACAGTTTCCCACAATCCCGAAAACAATAACAAAGATATATAAAAAAAGACGTATATAGACACAATCAACAGACACATTTATACATAGCACACATTAAAACATCAATACAAGCACAACAATCAATACACAAAATAACAGTCACTTCAATGTGCTTTGGTTGTGTCCTTTCTTGTGTCCTTCCAACCACAAAACCACTTTTACAACCTTAAAATGTACCAATCCTTTGTTTTCTATAAGCTCTCTCAAAACGGACTTATACCTCATGCCGGTTACATCGTTGGTCATGGAAGTCTTTCTGTAGATGCTATAGTATAGTATAGATTTTCACATTAGATGTTAGCTTTCTGTAGCATATATTGTTACCTATATCGTTTCTCAAAACTCATATGAGATTCAAGATGTAAGGCTTTTATTGTCATTCGTACATAGCTACAGTGCAGTTATGTCGATGAAAATCTTAGGTCACAGGCTCCTCCAACAATGCAACACAATAAAACTGATAATAGTGCAAGTAAATACAATCACATTACCAAAATATCCCCTCCCATTGGTAAATGTCAAGTCTATCTTAGAGAGAAAAAGACAACCTTGCCTGACCTGTGATTCATACTTCTACTTTTTTGTATAGTTATAAATATGTGTACAAAACAGGCGAAGTTGATTTGAAATAGCAATATGAGCCAGTGATTCTAGTGTGTATATGGTTTAATTAAGAAGAAATAATTAATCCCACATGTCTACCTGACAAATAACATTAGATCGCAGCGGCATCCTTATAGTTCACATCAAAACTGCACATACAGACCCTCATCAGTGTGAAACAGCACTTGCAATTTCCCAAATGAATCACAGCTGTTGGCAATCATCTAGTTTGATTACCTCTACAAATAGAAAGAGAGAACATTGTAAGCCATAGGCGATCACATCAGGCACACAGTGCTGTTCATGAGTTAGAAACCATCTCCCACACCTGATCGGAAATCAACTGTTGTTAACTTTCACACTAACAGGCTGTGAATAAAGAGGGAGATTGACAATTAAAGAGCCAGTCACCAGTTATCTTAATAAGGTATAATAGATCTGCAAGAACACCTCTGTTGTGCAATACCAATTATGTGCAGTATATATATATGTATATATATATATATATATATATATGGAGGTATATGAAAATGTTACCACAATATGTTAATATGTAGAAACATGTTGTGTTCTGGTCCTTCAAATGTAGATCTATGAACTCAATAATATGGCTCACCTAATGTTGACATTTTGCCACTTGCATCACAAGTAATTAGACTTACGCCTATTCCTTAGTCTGTGTCAATATTTATTCAAATACTCATGTCTTTGTGAATTGGAATATCAAAATAATACACAATTTGTTCCCAACACAAGACTTTGATTTCTTGTTTTTACTTTACACCTTTAAAAAGTGACTGTTTTGTTCAGTAGTCGCCCCCACTGATTCAGTGCACAGCTGTATTTGATTATTTCTTCAAACAAACAACAAAGTTAAAAGGAGTTTTATCTACTACACATTTTCGAAAAGTGAATGTTAAGTTTTGTATTTGCCAGAGACACCCAGGTCTCTCTGAATAAATAATTAGCCATGTTTTTCTGTGTTCTTTGAGAAGCCCAACCTAAACTTTAGAAACCTTCAAGTTTTTAGCCGTAAGCATTTTAATCCTCCATTTAAAATATGAAAATGGTTTTATCTTATATTTCAGGCATCTGTTCAAGATGTAACATATGTGAGTCGTTGTGTTGAGGTTCGGATAGTTCTTCAAATGTAGTTAATTAAAACAAATTATTTGATTACTCAATTGTCATATAATTTGTTTGTGGAAAAACCCCAATATCCATTATTCTGTGTCCTTGTCAAAAAGTCAGAACATTCATAGTCCACACGTATTATTATGATGAATTGGAAATAACATAAACCATATTACTTATTGACAATTGTTTAAAAGACTTTATGGATTTATTGTCAATTGAACTGAGCTCTTTGAATATTTCCATGGAGGTGATCGACCCTGGATCTCGAGAAGACCTCATTTACACAATAGGCGATTACATTGATGTTTGGTAATTGTCGTATGTACCTGCTTCTTGAAGAACAACATGTACAATCAACTGATCTAGGGTGTTTCAAAGAGGCATAATCATGTCAGTGAATTGCCAGCTTGAGTTCCTCTCTGATGAGATGTTATCCTTTCTTCTACAGGTTGGCCTTTTTCCAACTGTGTGTGTAAGATGAGCGGCTTTGTGCAAGGAGTGTCTGTTTCTGCTTCAGTCTTCACTCTGGTGGCCATAGCTGTTGAGAGGTGAGTTTGTTGTTATTCCCATATTTACCAGTCTACTTTGTCTCCATTTCCCCATCGCACATTTCCAGGGACACAGAACATAACCAAATATTATTTATTGTGTCTATTTTTTACTGCAGTGAGAGTTGCCAAAGAAATGTCGTTGTACTTTGTATGATGACAATACAGATATATTCTATTCTAATATGGAACAGTTTTAAGGCCGGTCAAACGGAGAAAAAGAGGACGATTTCCTTTTATTTTGGATTTTGAGAACTCAAAACGTTGAGAACAAAGTTGGATTACAATTTTTTTGGAATAAAATAAAAATATCTGGAATAAATGTTGAACCTTTGAGAATAAATCTAACTACTGCATTTATGAAATATATGAAAACTCAACTTCTTTCTCAACACTTAGACTTTTTTTGACCAAATACAAAATAAAATATCTTCCCTTTCTCATTTATTTCAACTTATACCCGACCCCAATACTCTTCTGTGACATTCAACTTGATTTTAAAACCTAAATGATGAATGTAAAACATAATTGGAAAATAAAAAATACTTGGGAAAATACTGGATGTACTCTTCCAATATGAGAGTACACATGATAACAAAGGTATCCCAACTGTAGCTGTGTACATGACAGGATGTGTGATTACCTAGAAGAGCATCAGGACTGTTTTAGGCATATGATAGCTATGTGATTAACATGATGATTCAGCCTCTATGGAGATAGACATGACAAGCATGCTCATTTCTGACGTGGAGCTAATCTGAAGTAAACATTGAATACTGCTTTCTATTCCTCCATCTTGTGACTGTGTAACTCCCTCTCTTGGATATCAGCATGTGAAGGACACTGTTCAGGAACTAGTTGATGCTCTGTATGTGATGACTGCTTCCATTCTGGAGAGGATCACAAATACATGGATCCTGAGATTGAAGCTCAAGCTGGTGACGAGTGATATTTTCCTAACACTAACATTCAGCAATGCTTTTATCTTTAGGTTTCGGTGTGTAGTGTACCCTCTACAGCCCAAGCCCACTGTTCTGATTGCGAAGGGGGCCATCGTGTTTATCTGGACGCTAGCAGTGGTTATCATGTGTCCTGCTGCTGTGGCTCTGACTGTGGATAAAGTTCCTTTCCACTACATGGTGCACAATAATGACTTCAACCAAACGGTCCCCCTGTACTCCTGCTACGAGAACTTTGCCATCCCTCAGATGAGAAAGGTTTACACAGCGGTTCTGTTTGCTCTTATCTACCTGGTGCCGCTCACCGTCATCATGCTCATGTACGGGAGTATCGGATGCAAGTTGGGGTCTTCTGTGATTGCAAGAGCTGGCCAGCCATTGATCTCCCAGAAAAAGATCAAGGTGATAAAGATGCTTATCTTGGTGGCTCTGCTCTTCATGCTGTCCTGGCTGCCGCTGTGGACCCTCATGATGATGACTGACTACGCAGGCTTCGACCGGGACCAGGTGGAACTTCTGAACAGCTACATCTTTCCCTTCGCCCACTGGCTGGCTTTCTCCAACTCCAGCGTCAACCCTATCATCTACGGCTACTACAACGAGAACTTTAAGAAGGGTTTCCAGGCCGTTTGCAAGTCTCGACCCTTCTGTTGCCTCATGCAGTGCCAGCTGTGGAGCAGGGTGGTCAGATGGGGGAGGAAAGACCAGTCTGTGCAAGCACCTGGTAGAGAGTGTGATTTCAGAGATGCCACTAGCAGTCACAATCGTCTAGTCTTGGGAGTGAGGAATCGAGTCCATAACGTCAACCAGCTGACTGAATCAGCCGAGGTGGATAAGAGTCTAAAGGTAGGGTCTGTGGTGGTCCACTCAGAGAGAAGTCTTTCAGATCGAGGGTTAGAAATGGCGGCTGTACAAAATAAAGGAAGCAATAGCGAGGAGTCAGAGGGGGCAAGTCCACAAGCAGCTTCAGTGTATCAGGCGTGGGACATCTGAAGTTCACACTGTTAAATGAACCCAACAAAGCCATTGTATGTTGCATTGTAGATCCAAGGAAGAGACTAGTATCAATTGTCAGATTTTGAATGTGTATCGGGCCACTGTTTGGTATGATGGATGACACTAGTTCTAGGCAATGCCTCATCTATAATATTAACACTTTGCAAATTGCTTTATGGCTATGATCAGTCAATCAGGGACAGCATAGATGACAGCACTCAAGGTGGCACAATGTACTTTAGGGCAATTGTATATTTGAGAAATATTCCCTTACTGTAGATAAGCACAACAATGTACAAGATTGTCACGATTTAGACAGCTAAGCAAGTCCAAAAGTATTGTTAAAGCTAAAAGAAAGTTAGAACAATATGTTGGTTTTGCACTTATTATGTCATGACAGTCATTTCTAGCCCAGTACTTTAAGCAGCTGTTTTTTTAACCAACATTAGAAGTATTCCCATTGGTCCAATATCTCATCATCCCGTAAACAATTGTTTGGATGGCCCATTGCTCTAGAATCACACATTCTCCTAACAAACAGAGACACACTATGGTGAAGGCATGAACGATATTTCTCTGACTCTGAGTGTTCTATATTCTTACCATTATCCTAACCAATCTCAATCCTCATTCATAAACCTAACCCACCCAAATGAAGGTAGAGTATTATCAATATCAAGTAGTGGCAGTTTGGATAACAAAACAGGAATATCCAATGAAGCTATTCTACTTTATCAGCAATATTCTACTAAGTTCTAGACAGATTTTAAGGACAAGGATGATTTGGAGGCAATGTGGAGAATACATTGAAATGGCCAATAAGATGAAGAGGGAAGGTAAGGCTGACCATGGTTTGACACATCACCTCTTGTTTCTGCTCCTCTCTCCCTATCAGCAAAACAATTGGCTGAGCACGATAGTGTGACCATAATGTAAGTCTTCACATGCAATGTCCAGTTAGTATTTATCAGGGGCTTGACGATTACAACGAGAAGGGACCTAATTTATGGTAATGGTTTTAAATTGTATTGTTTAGTATGATGTGCTATCTAAAGCTAATGACAGAAGCGATTTGGTTTAGACAGCACTTTAATTGAGGCTACGGAGAATTGATTTGCTTAGACTCTGAAAGGCGTTCATTCTAAGCATCCGGACATTATGTGCAATCTTCTCACCATGGCACTTGTCATGTTGTGTGTTCATATTGTCACATTGAGTCGCCTCAGACAGAAATGGCAGCAGAAATAGAACCCAAATAGAACCCAGTCAGACGGAAATACAGCGTGTTTTGAAAATGCGTTGTGTTGTTCTTGACAGTGCTTTTATTATCAAGTGTTAACAATGATAGTTGGTTGGCTACAAATTACCTCAACACTATTTTGACAAGGATTTTGTTTCAGTTATGAAGTAAAAATACAAACAAGTATTCTTTGAGACTTTGGGACAACGACAATGGACCTATTCATTAATGGCTTCGTTACAGTTAATAAACCATTTTAAGGTGGTCACTTTGGTCTTACTAGTTGCCTCTACAGAGGTCATGTGGAGTTATTGTAATTAACAACACAATTAATCTACATCCACAACATTGCAGAAGAGTGAAACTCATTCTCCTTACAGTATTATAAAGGCAAAAGCTCTTGGTCAACTACCTCAATGTCTATAAGAAACACAATATTGTAAATAACCTCTACCTAACAAGCATGACACCTTTAAAAAACGTTCAGGTATTCAAAATGCAAAGTCAGGATAAATATAATCAAACATGTTGTTTGCAATAGAGACATAACACAGTCGAGAACACCAGTCCGCCTTCAGCCTAATCGTTGACATGAAGTCATGTGACTGTGGTGTAATTCATTTATAACACAAATCATATCAATGGTATTAATAGGTGGAGATTGTCTTGCTGAACAAAATGTGCAAGTGCCATAGAGTATTTATTCTGCAATAATTCTAAATCCAATGGAGAAATCCAATAGACTTTTTGTCGAGGGAACCAGGGTTACGGTAACAACCGGGTCAGCGTACTAATACTGTAAGAAACACTCGGTTCTGAATCTCTTTAGTATAAAACAGATCTTATATCAGGGAAGAAGTTGTTGATACCCGTGGAAAACAAATGAATGGGTGGATGAAATAAATACACTAAATCACATATCTTGGAGTAAAGATAACAACCCATACAGACCGTAGGAGTTTGATTACCTTAGGATCCCTCATGACGCAAATCTGTCTTTTATGGCACAAGAAAAAAGTTGCAAGGAAAGTTTGAAGAGGGCAATTTCACATTCAGAAGACACTGCATGGCCATCAAGAGACACGGACTGTCTGGAAACTAATAATACCTATACAGACACACAAGAAGACAGAAAAATATCATTATAATAGTTTGAAGAAACCCATTGTACTTCGTAAAATACAGAATATTGTGTCTCGTTTTCAGTGCCATTACTCTATGTTATACAAAATAAATTTATATAAGACGGGCTATGTTTGAATGAGCATTTTCTTTCAATGCTTTTATTGTTGATTGTATTGTATACTTACTCCGATATATTTTCCGAAACATTATGACCATGAACATAAAAAACGAAGTAAGAACAGAATAAGAAACACTCACAGCGGTACAAATAATATAGTATCCAAATATTAAAATAAATATACTGTATGCAGGCAAAGACATTCCTTTCTGTCTTAAGATCAAAAACACATTTGAGGTGTTGTAACTATGGCTGAAACAACGACTTAGCATTAAATTAATCAATATCAGAAGCTATGTACAATAAATGTGCTACAGTAAATAAAAAATATGGATAAAATAGAGTTCTTGCTTTAAACCCAAAGTGCTCTATAAAATGTAGAAAACCAGAGATACCTGGCTCTAATCTCTCTGTGTGATGCAGCGTAATCTCCCGCCCACGTGAACTACCCATTTTCCTCTATGCACGCATCGAAAAGCATCAAAAGTGATACAGAGTTTGAATTATATTTGCATATTTAGGAGGCTGTGGCTCAGTGGGTAGTGTGCTGGACTTGGAATCAGGGGATAGCAAGTTCGAGTCCCACTGCAGTCAGCATGTCGTTGTGTCCCTGAGACACTTCACCCCAAATTGCTCCTGTGGGGATTGTCCACAGTACTGAATGTATGTAAGTCGCTTTGGACAAAAGCGTCTAACAAATGACATGTAATGTAATATTTTCTCGGCTAGACAACATGCAATGCAGTGAATTACTAACGTGCAGGTGTCTCACTGTGCCTTGATTTGGTAGTAATTGTGTCATCATTGAATTATGTTTGTAAAACGGTCAATGTGCGGCATTATAAGATTAGTTTTTGCTTGTGTGATAAAATGATTACTTTCCAGGAAAATATTGACATTTACTTGCCATTAAGGTTATTTCTTTAAAGAGGCATTATATTCAGTATACAAATAAAAAGGATATGAACTTGGATATGAAAAAGTGGTAATATTTGTATTGCTAAGCTGTCACTGTTGTGGTGTAACTTGAATGTGTTCCCGGGTTGTGTCTTTGTTAACATAGTTATATTTTAGCAGAACAATCAATCAAGCAATCACATTTATTTGTTTATAGGGGATTTACAGTATAAGGGATACAACTGTCTTTAGATTTGCATTGGAAATGTGAAGCTCAGGTGTCAGTCATGGACAACAAGCCACAGAGTAACTTGTTATTACTTTTGAATTCATTTGAATGTATTACTGATATCAGCAAGTACTCAATGTGAATTATTTAAGTGGAAATACCATGATGCCAGCTCTGGAGGAAACTAAATATGTGGACTTGAATACTTTATGTTTGTGGCTTGCAATGCAAAACCTTTAAAAAAGTGTGTAAAACGTATGCTTTTATCATGCTGTGTAATTGGCTGTATTTATGTTTCTCTTAATGTAATATGGTTCAATTGATGTGTCTTTTATTGATATTTCTGTATTCAAGATTGCTCTTTGATGTTGTGCTCTTTAGTGGAAAATGTATGCAAAATTCTTTGGAGCAATGAAGAAGCCTCTTTATTCAGCTGCAACCTCAAAGCTACCAGCAGCACTTTAGTTTCCTGTCCGAAGATGGAAAGATAATGGGAATTAATTGTGTGTGATTGCCTTGAAATATCAACCTGAACAAAATGTATATTTCAAACATGCTTTCACATCCGTCGCGGTCGACATTTCTGTATTTGTGTATAGCTGGACGCTAAATTACACTGAACAAAAATATAAACGCAACACTTTTGTTTTTGCTCCCATTTTTCATGAGATGAACTCAAAGATCTAAAACATTTTCTATTTACACAAAATAACCATTTCTCTCAAATATTGTTCACAAATCTGAAAAAATCTGTGATAGTGAGCACTTCTCCTTTGCCGAGATAATCCATCCCACCTCACAGGTGTGGCATATCAAGATGCTGATTAGACAGCATGATTATTGCACAGGTGTGCCTTAGGCTGGCCACAATAAAAGGCCACTCTGAAACGTGCAGTTTTGCTTTATTGGGGGGGTCTGGGGGGGTCCGAAAACCAGTAAGTATCTGGTGTGAGGGGTAGGGTTAGGGTAATGTTGTGAATCGAGTGGCCCATGGTAGTGGTGGGGTTATGGTATGGACGACGAACACAGGCCACTCGATTCACAACATTACCCTACCCCTCACACCAGATACTTACTGGTTTTCGGACCCCCCCAATAAAGCAAAACTGCACGTTTCAGAGTGGCCTTTTATTGTGGCCAGCCTAAGGCACACCTGTGCAATAATCCTGCTGTCTAATCAGCATCTTGATATGCCACACCTGTGAGGTGGGATGGATTATCTCGGCAAAGGAGAAGTGCTCACTATCACAGATCTTTTCAGATTTGTGAACAATATTTGAGAGAAATGGTTATTTTGTAGAAAATGTTTTAGATCTTTGAGTTCATCTCATGAAAAATGGGAGCAAAAACAAAAGTGTTGCGTTTATATTTTTGTTCAGTGTATGTGT